CATAGTTCGGTGCTTGACTCTACGAATTTCTTTTTCATTTTTCGGGATTTGCTTTCTGTGGCTAAGCAAGCTTTATTAAATGCGTGAGCTGAGGGTACCAGCTCTCAGACGATGTAGCAAGTACGTAGCCCTAGTCTCTTTGCTTTCCTGCCATTCCTTTACCTGTTTCATCGTTTTGAATGGGATGACAAAATATCCGAATTGTTTCGCTGGAAATCAAACAAGTACGTGTATAAGGTTGAGCCGTCCACAATTTTCACGGTTTTATTAGACAACGGTTCGGCTTCCTTGCCGTCGTCGAGAGATTGAAAGAGTCCAAAACAATTGAATTGTCTTTCAAAAGCCATTCACAAAAAACTTTTCACGACAAAGACAATTTTGAGCATATGGTAGTAAACCTCCTAACGATATCGATTGATATGTTTGAGTTGGCTTACCTTGGTCTCAGCTACAGCTTGGGCGTGAGATCCAACGCCCAAGCTGTAGCACTGCTCAGGCAGCCTTCAGACTTCGCGACGGCAGCGCTTCGGTCGCGCGATTCGACGATCGATGCGCATGCTTTCGAGTGCGTCGATCGCGTCAAACGCGCGACAGAGTCGCTGCAGTCGCGGAGTCTGAACGCTGCCTAACAGTAAGCTTCCACCTCCATCATGATATGCTATCGTTGTGATAATCACAACAAGGGGTCGTATTCGAGCTCGGGGGTGGTAATTGCAGAGCGCTTTCTGAGGTGTGGAGTGTAGGGATGCTCAAATGTTGTTAGGTTCCGTGATGGAAGACTTATCCGTATAAAGGACACTTGAAGAGACACACACATGGAAGAAGCAACCTGCTAGCGGCCAGGGGGAGTGGGCGATGACAGAAAATACGATAGCCGCCAACAACGATGTCATGAATTGAAAAACAGACGGAAGTACACTTCCTGACCTTCGTAATCGCTGAAGCATAAGCATTTGTCCGCAGAAGACATCAGAAGAATAGCCTCAAACTCCCCGCTTTCTGTGGCACAGATCCATGTCGCGACGAATCTAAAGGTCTCAAAAATGACAACATGGCGCTCTATTCGATCAAGTGAGCACATCACTCGAGAGACGACGAAGAAAGCTCCCTGTCTGACTGGCGACGTCGTGGGACCAGTTGCAGTTTCTTGAGATATTTGTAAAATCAGAAAGGCAACATCTTATGCTCATTTCTTTCTCAAGTTATCTTCACTGATAAGAAAAAGTCAATCTCGACCGTTCAGATGGATATCAACATTACTGGAAAGACCTTTGTAGCGATCCGTTGGTGTTCTCGAGACAAACTTTCGGAGGCGCCTCTTTGATGGTACGGGGTGGTTTTGGAAGCAGAGGAAAAATGGAGCTTGCCTTCCCATCGTGCTACATGAACAGTCAGGTATACCAAGGAGTGCTTGAGTCCAACCTCTTGCCTTTTCTGAGCGGGCCACGACGCAGGACACATGTGATGCAGCAGGACAACGCCGCCGTGCATGTAAAAATTAAAATTCTACTAGAAAATGGCTCCAGCGCAATGGTATCGAAGTGATGGATTGGCCGGCGTGTTCTCCTAACTGCAGTGTACTTCCAAATCTTTGGGGAATCGTGGTTCGAAGAATCTACATAAACAGTGGGCAGTACAACAGCGTGCGAGACTTGAAGGAGGCAATAGTTGATGCATGGGGGAAACCGACGAAGACTCACGACAAACTTGTCCACAGCATGCCAGACAGAATGCGAAGCAATAGTGAACACTGGAGGAAGAACCAACTTCTATTTTCCACGATACATTTGTTTTTTGTTAAGTGTCTACATACTTTTGTTATTAAGAAATTTTTTAAAACATTGGATAAAAGCTCAGTAGTCCACAAAGTGTTTAGAAGTAGTGTATTCCTATGTTTTCGCTTAGGAGGAATTCTACAATAAAGGTCTCATCTCGCAAAATTCAAAGGCAATTTTGACAGAAATTTGAGGTGTCCACATACTTCTGTTACTCAGTGTATGTGCTTGCACAGAACAATCCCAATACCCGTAGCGGAAGCATTCGTTTCGGAAGTGTACCGAAGTCTTCCGACGAACTGGAAGTGGTGTATCGTCCGGGGGTAGGTTTTTCATGTCGGCCAGATCTCGTCCACATCACGACCGGGATTTTTTTCGGATAGTAGGCTCAGGGATAGAAAGAAAGTCCTGCTATAAAACACAAACCTTTGAAATTCCGTCGCTTTTATTTGCGAATGGCCTTGCGGTTGTTCACAGCGGAAGAACTTGTAAACGACTCCGAATGTCACAACGTGATCACAACGGAGAGTGTTCCTTGACAAGAGGGTTTTCTTGAATCGCTTTAACTCATTTGAAAAGTTTCAGTCTAGTGCTCCACAGCCTACTTTCCCTTCTACAAAAGCTCCACTCCCAAAAAAATTATGGGTGTCCAGCGAAGGGCGCTTCCCTAGAGTTTGGCTTGAAGCTATTTGGATTGTGAAATAGCCCGTTACAATGCTATGGCACAAAGCGTGTTCTAACTTACCATAAGCTCTCAACTTTGGGTGGCCGCGAGCGATTAATATTCAAATGCTAGCAAATGGATTTTTCATTTTCATGTCTTATTGGATTCATTGATGGGTCATTGATTTGGCTTATTTTTTGTGAACCAGTCGGATCCCCCGGCTGACCCGAGCTCTCCTCCTTAACATTAGCTGGCTTGGCTTCGCCCAGGCGCACTTCATAATAAGAACGGAATTCTTTCTTTCACCTAGCTACTCAAAACGCGGTGCTTTGATCGAATCGTAATAGATGAGCAACCCACGTGCGAGCTTAGCCCAGCTGCCATGCGAGCAGCTTGAGCAATAGCTTAGGGTGTACTAAATGGTTGTCTTGTATAGGGTGAGGGTATTGTCATAATCAGAACAACATCTTAGTTTGTTACTTTATTATGGACCAGTCGCCTCGCCGGCTAACGCCGCCGCGGCTCCTTCTGATACGGCCCGGCTGCGCCGGGCGGGCGCGGCTTCGCCGCACGCTTCGCCGCACGTACCTTCTCTCACATATTTCTAGACTCAACTGTATATCCGCCTTTTGTTCTGTACTCTACTTTTCTCCGGCGCTCGAAGTACTCTTGAGCTGTTTTTACAAATTCTTCGTCTGACTCCCGCCCACCTCAGAGACAGACCGCCCTCAATTTTGTGCCCCGCACTCTTCACAGGCGACCCCTGCTGACCTTAATCACTTTTTTTCCGGGTGTCTGATGTGTTCTGGAACCGTTCTGCAGGGTTTTGTCTGCTCCGCCCACCTCGAAACAGGCTCCGCCCCAAATTTTGTGTCCCACTGGCGACCCCTCTGCTGACCTTGATCACTTTTTTCGGTCGGAGTGCTCTGGGAGAGTTTGGGAGAATTTTTTTGGCTCCGCCCAACTCGGGCTGGCCCCGCCACAACATGTATACCCCAACATTTCTTAATCGGCGACCCCTTGCTGACTTTGAATTCACTTTATTCCGGTCTTCGGAGTGCTCTGGAACCGTTTACAGACCCTTTTGTCTGGCTCCGCCCACCTCGAAACAGGCTGCGCCCACAACGTTTTGCCCCACAGTCCTCACGGCGAACCTTTGCCGACCTTGGCGCACGTTTTTTCCGCCGTCTTTGCAGTGCTCTGGAACCGAGCTACAAACTTAAAGTGGAGTATCCTGCGGTTTAGGGCAAGCTCTGCCACTGTGCGGGCGATCCCAACACACTTTGGGCATGCCCAATACTCGCCAGATATTTACATTCTGCACTGAGCTTTTTGCGGCTTCTGAACACTCTCGGCGAACCGAGTTACTGAGTTTTATGCGAAGCACCGCCCAGCTTGAGTACGCCCCGCCCATTTTGGATGTGTCTGCCACAGGTAGTCTGGCGACTCCTTACTAACCTTATTCCCTTGTTTCACCATCTTAGGCTGCTCCGGAAGCGAATTATGAACATTTTTCTGTGAAACCCAAAATTTCAGTGAGTGCTCCGCCACAGTGGGCATTGCTTCGCATAGGTCAAGTGTGCTTTTTGTTTGTTGTCCCATGCTCTACCTATCCCCACCTTGACCCGACCTCTCCAAGTCGTTCTTCAGGTCGAACCCGAATTTCCGGACAGACAAACAAACTTACAAACAAAACAAAACAAACAAACTTACAAACAAACTTACAAACAAACAGACGAAGCGAATTATATATATGGGGTGATTATATTATCTTGCAGTTTTGCTAGCGGTTGTATCCTCTTCTCCTGCTTATCCTACTCAAGCGCGTACTACGCCCCCACCCCTCACCGTACCTCCTCCCCTCTACTTCCTTCGCTTCCACATACTCAGGTCCGGCTGAGCACGTGCAGGGGAAGGAAGCAGAGGGGAGGGGTCCCTGGGTGCCCCCCCCCGTCGTTCCACCCCACCCTGCACCCGCACGAGCACACGTCCAGCTGCAACGCTAGCAGCTCGTGCAATGGCTCGGAGTATACGGAGTGGATGTCATATATAGCTGAAGCTGTTATCACAGTCAAAACCTTGGACTGATACATCCGCACCATCTGTTACCGGTTTGTCTAGCGGTCGTTTTCTCCTCCCGCTAATTCAAACCCGTGAAGCATTTGCGGATGGACATACATAAATACATACAAAACGGCACACAAAGTTACTGGCTCATAAAATAAAAGGATTGTCATGGCTCACTTTCTTTGTGTTCCTCACATTTACTCTTGATTAACTCGCGCCTTTCTTGTCTTTCATTTTCGCAAATCTTCCGTTTTTTTTCGGAGTTTGTTTGTCCGCTGCTAATCTGGTCCGCTGCATTCAGATTAGCAGCGAGCAGGTAGGTGGGGGAGGGAGCGTATTCAGCAGAGATTCACATTCACAATGGCGTGTTATGATCCCAATATAATGGCTGTTAAATCATGGACCATAGCGGCCTTGTCATAAAAACCGGAGAGCTGATCTCTTGCACAATCATAAGACACTCCCTGTGAATCCGCATGCAGGAGCCGTAAAGACTACCTAGGAGTTAGGCTTACGCGGTTGTAGAAAGTCTGGGCGACGATGGCTTCACATTGTCGTGAGCGTGGAGGAGCGCTTGCATAGAAATATCTTGAGAATATTAAACATGCGTCCTTTCTGTAGTTTGCAATCCTATGCGAATTGAACTTCAATGATCCTATTGAACGAAGTGTCTTTTTTATTTCCTAGAAACGAAACAAAGAAACATGAGAGGCATCTATTGAGTTGAGATGTTGGATAATCGTCGTGTTAGAACGAGCGCACAGCTTGTCTGAGCTACAGCGATAGCCACCTTGGCACTGAGAGCATGCATTGCCTGGAGTGTAGATCTTAGTATCGGGTATATTATCTCTGAAAATACTCATTTGAGATATCAAATAGGATGGACTGAGGAAAAAGAAGAATAGTACCCAATCCCGTAGTAGCACCCACTATAAAAAGTATGGTAGTGGCACGCAATATAATAAGTATTGGGGCACTTGTTTTTCTGTGTAACAGCACATCCAATCCTTGAAGTGGTTGCCCAGGCCATCTGAAGTCCGTTGCCTTCATATTTCTCTTGTTACAGTATATTAAAAACGTTTCAAGAGAATCTGGGATAAAACTACGTCTCTCTATATTCGTGACAAATTCCACAGAAATAGGTTAGTTTTTCCTGAGCACCCTCACCCTGGTGAAATAGCTGATAGGACTACCCGACTGGGAACTTCTGAACGTGACTCCAGTCCCAACAGTACCGACCACTCTCAGCTGACTCCACCAATACTTGATTGCCTGAACGAATGGCTCACCTACGCATTGCAACAATATGACACAATAAATACGAACCTCAGTCATGGCATTAACGCGAGAAGAAACGCTGGCTTGTGGAAGACTATAGATGTTTTCCTGTATCCCAAATACAAGGCCTGAGGACGTGGAGCACCTATCCACATCTTTTATAGCCACGAGGTTTCCAAAGTGCAGTATTTCCATAGTAAGAAAAGTGATGTGCACCCACTACACCAGATTGCTCACTAGAAAAAGTTACGAGCGCAGTGTCTTTCACCCAGCTGAAGCTCAGCTGGACCCACAGAATCCTAGAAATATGGCGCACGCCGGTATCAAATCGTAGAAGTGTCCGTGCGAAGCGGGTCACAGTTAGTGTGTTGAAATATAATACTGGCCAATCAGCAGCGCAGACACCACGCACCAATGTCAAGTGTTGTTTCAGAAATTTTAGGAATGTGATGACGAGAAGCCTTTTAGCTTAGTTGCGTATCATTGCTTGTGCGTGTGTCATGACATGCATCTTCCGTAGTGTTATTACTTCTGCGTCAAACCAAATTTTCAC